TGAGCTTGTAGTCAGTTTTAAAGTAACAGTTTATTTTATGGTAAGCTGAGTCAAGATTGTATTGATTAGTTCACCTTCAAGGGTAGCTTGTACAGCTAGTTCACATGTGGTCCCTTATGAGGTATACACCAAGAGTCTATACTGTCCTCTATATTCACTTTCTTGATGTGTTCTAGGATATGCTTTTTACGTTCAGCTGTTGCTGAATGGAAAGTAACACTTCATCAAAGAATATGAATCATATCTTTTATCCTTATTCTGGTGTTTGAGAAGCCTAAGGTTATTTGAGATGGCATGATATGCTTATGACTGAAACAATTTCCTTAGTGACAGTTAACTCCCAGATGGTCTGTCTGCTGCTTGTTTTTTTTTTTTTTTTTTTTAAATGAAGAGTCCATTTTCAGTTTTGAAAAGGCTCTCCTTTCTCGCTTTTTGGAACTTCTAAATCTTTTCACTTAATTACCCTCTGTTGGGGGAATCTTTTCAAATAAGAAAGAGAATCAAGAGAAGGGATTCTCCATGAGATGAGCTGAAGCCTAAACTATCCACAGTGCAAGCAAGAGCAAAGGTTTCACCAACTGAATCTCCTGGGTCTACATGCAAAAAAATATTTTCAGATGAGATTAGTTTGTATGGAAACTGCTGATCATGGCCTGAACCTCTGAATCACCACCTGAGGCAAGCAATGAGTGAGCCGTGGGAGCACAGGTGAAAGCAATTCACCTGTGGAAGGTGGAGCCAGGCTCCACCTCTCCTACACCTCATTTAAGTGCTGACTGCCACTGGAAAAGGCTCTTTTTCGGTAGGTTGTTCCTTCTGGAGTTTATTAGGAGCCTATAATATTGGTGAGCATTTTTCAGTTATTATTTTTGTATTTGCCACTCAATTTGAAATAATAAGCTTTAATATACTTTATCTTTTCTATGCGTTGTTGTGACTTGTGATTATATAATGATTTTGGCCTTTGAATTCTAGTTGAGTTTCCTTTGTATACTAATTCAAAACCAGTCAGGATGCTCAGTAATATCAAAAATGGTACCACTTGTATGTGTTCAGGTAATTATCTCATGAATGATATACATTTTAAATTTTGGGTGTCCTTATGTGGAGTCAAGAGTTGAACTTGATGATCCTTGTGGGTGCCTTTTACCTCTAGATATTCTATGATTCTGTAATGCTATGAATTGAATAGCTCTATAGGAGAATCTCCCACTGACACCTAGTTTTTTTCAGATGTCTAAATTTAAATTGATTTTTAAGAGCTAAAATAACTCCAAACATCTTATCTCCATTGAAAATATCTATTTTCAGTTTCAGCTCCTATAATCAAGTTACATAGTCTGTGAAGATATCTTATTTTCTTATGAATTGTGCTGACATTTATTTGAAGAAAGAAGTTCAGAGTGGCACATTAACAGTAATAGCCTGGGAAAACTAATTCAATTGCTGAAAAACTCATTTTGCCAGATTTAATGATCATTATGTGTATTTTTATGAGAAGAAAAGACAGAGAGAAGGGTTTCTAAGATCAAGGTGAAGAAAATTGTTTTCACTCTGAGGATAATCAAGTAGTAGAATAGGTTGCCCACAGATTCAGTGTATTCTTCATCTTGGAAGACTTTTCAAGTCCCAGACTGATAACATTTTGAGCAACTTGATATGCTCTATTTTGTTATATCTGACCATTCAGACTACTTATGATGTTTTATGAAAAAAATTTGATACCTGTATAATAATGAATATTAAGATGTTATAATTATGAAATAAACAAGAGAGTTTGACAAAGCAGATTATGATAACAAAAAGAGAATAAATAGAAGGCTTACACCTATCCTGGACTCACTCACAATACTCCAGAAGAGATCCTTCTGTACTGGTAGCCAGCTCTTCAATAGGTCTAGGAGAGGTGGAGCCTGACTCCACCCCTTCCGGCAGCACAGGTGAATTGCCTTCACCTGTGTTCCTCTGGCTGACTCATGGCTCGCCTCAGGTGATCAATCAAAGGTTCAGGCTGTGACTCAGCAGTTCCCATACAATGCCTGTTCTTGTTTGAAGATTTTGCTCTTCACAAAAATGTTTCATGTTAGAGAGCATAACTTCTATCTTCAATTTTTTTTTTTTTCTAGCTGATGGTAGACGTTTACTATTTTCCTGCATTTTTCTATCATTCATACATTAAAAATATACGTTACGCACCTAATAATTTTATTTCATGTAGTATGGAAATGTAGGAATCATTAATTCCTGTTTGAAAAGCTTTTTTTTTTATTTGTTTGTTTTATATGCAACAGATTTTGGATTACAGATTTTGAACTAAAATGAATAAACAAACATTTAATATCAGACACTTTGACTTTTTACCTTCTCGAAAATAACATAACTACACTTGGCAACACATTCAACTTAAAATATGGAAATGATCTCACATGGTTTTAGTATTTTTCTAGACTTCTAATTTTGTTACTTTTGAGAGTACACTAAATGAAAGTGCTGTAGGCTGGATGGACAGATAGGCAGACTGAAAATAAAATGAATAGCTAAGAACAGAGGGTAGGGATCAGTGTCTTGAAGTCTAGCTGGAGGCCAGTGTGTTACCAAAGTACTAGCACAGTATCAAAGAGGTAAAACCTGGGTCCAGCTCTGTTTAACATCTTCATTAATCATCAGAGTGATGGGATAGAATGTGTCCTCAGCAGGTTTGCAGATGGCACAAAAATAAGGGGAGCAGCTAATACACCAGATCGTTGTATTGTCATCCAGAGGGGCCTGAACAGGCTGCAGAAATGGGCTAAAAGGATTCTCATGAAGTTTAACAGGGAGAACTGCATAGTCCTGCATGCGGTAAAGAACAAATCCAGCACAAGTATATGTGGGGGCTGCTCAACCAGGAAGCAGTTTCACAGAAAAGAGCTCAGGGTCCTAGTGGACGCTTGCTTGGACCCAACAAAAAACCCTTGTCCCACAAAGGACAGTAGTGTATTTGGCTGCATTTGAAGGAATGTATCAGCAGCAGGTGAACTCCACTCAGCACTAGTGAGGCCACATCTGGAATGTATACAGTTCTGAGCTTCTCAGTACAGGAGAGATGAGCATACTGAATAGAGCCCAATGAAGGATCATAAAGATGATGAATCTGAAGAATTCCTCGTATAAGAGAAGACAAAGAGAGATGGACTCTTTACCTTGGAGAAGTAAAGGTTCAGTGGGGATCTTATTAGTGTCTGTAAATACCTGAAAGAAGGAAGCAGAGAGAATGGAGCTAGGCTTTCTTCAGCATTGCTAAAGATACAATGCAATGGGAACAAATGGAAAAAACAAGAGGTTTCATCTAAATATCAGAAAGCACTTCTTTTCTGTGAGAGTAACAGAGTACTTGTGCAGATTGTCCAGAGGTTCTGGGGTCTCCTTGAAGACTTTTAAATGTTTCCTGGATATCCTCCTGGGAGCCTGCTCTGGGTGTCTCTGCCTGAGTAAAGGGATTGGGGCCAGTAGGACCTGAAGATCCCTCTCAACCATTCTGTGATTTATTTTTTTTTTCCTCAAGTCTAATTGTACTCTACACTGTAGAGTAGTTCACATAACTCAAAGAAATAAATGAAGTCTGAATGTGACCATGCTGCTGAGAAATTCAGTTAAGTTGGGATGTGAAATTTGGTTAAAAAAAACATAGGTCACTTGTCCTACACTACAAGAAGAAAATAAAAATATTTCTTATCAGAGATATAGAGGTGAGAGGAATAAGATTACTGAAAATATGGGAATGGAAATAATACTTTCACTACAATAATATTCCACAGCTCATTTGTTTTCTTGTTTTCAAAAGAAGTATTTATAAATACACTGTGTAAGGCTTGGATGGAATTAACTATCCTCATAGCAGCTTTTGCAGCATTGTGGTTTTGGTTTTGTGGAGAAAAGAAGTGTTGATAACAAACCATTTGTTTGGCTATCACTGGTTCTTGCACAACTTCAAAGATTTCTCTTTTTTTCTATACTTCTCCCTTAGTAGAAAGAACTAGATCAGCTTACTTGAAAAGGGATATTCTACACTGCATAACTTCATGTTTGGCTATAAAAAATGAAGCAAAGGGAATGGGGAGCTGTCTCCCAAGGTGTTTTATTCAGAGACAGACTGAGCAGGGTGGGAAAGGGAAAGCAAAATTCTTGAAGACCTGCTTTTGCAGATGCTATTCTTCTATCCATTAATTATGAGATTGTCTGAAACCAGACCAACTGTGATTTCTGCCTGTACCTTTTCTTCAAACTGTCAAGTTACTGTAGAGTTTCAGTTACACGCCAGAAAAATATATTATTTCAAAGTACATATGCAGCATAAATATATATCTAATGTTAGACTATAGAATTTTTTAAAGCAATAGAAAATCTAAAATTTTTTTGTTTATCAAAAAAGTTGACTTCATCACTATACGAATGATTTTGTGCCCAAGAGATATTCTGTCCATATTAGATAAAAGGATTAATTCTGCAGTAATACAACCATTCATTGTTCAGTGAATGACCAGTGGAATTAGAATGAAGAATGCAGAGTTTGTTATTCAGGCTGACAGTATGGATCCCAGTAGGAATAAGAGAGAGAAATATACCTATTTTTCTGAGGCAAAACTTAGTAGAGAAATGTGACAATATGCCTGACAAGGTGTCATGGTTTTGTGATTTTTGGTTTTTGGTAATCCGCATCATAACATCATGTAGTACACTGGGAGTTTAACTGTTCAAGTTCTGGGTACCTGCCCGGAAGAGAAGTGCTACATTGCCCAGGGGAATTTGCAGTCACAGAGAGGAGATATAGCTCCTGGCAAGATCACCTGATGAGCTCTTTTTCATCCGCTCTTTGTTGGCTCTCCTCCTGTCTCTTTACTGCTCAACTGGACTGCGCATCTCATCTCAGCAATTTGGTGAGGCCTATCCACCTTTTGGACATTCTCTCTCTCTCTCTCTCTCTCATTATATTTGATTTATTAGCTTCAATTCTAATTACATTGTATTATCTTGCATTCTGATACTGTATTTAGTAAATTTGTTTCTCCTCCGATTGTTGCTGCTGTTTTTTAATTATTTTGGGGTCCCCTGTTCCCTTTTTGTCTGGAGGTACTGATTTTGCAAAATCCCCCCGCCCTACTAGTCATGGAAGTGGGCCAAACCAGACCGTAAACCGTTGACACAAGGATAAGAGTAGGCAGGCAAATAATTCTTCTAACTGGCTGAGATAGTTGAAAATAATTTTGTAGAATGCTGTGAATGATTTCAAAATTCTGGAGAATAGCAGAGGACAACTGAAGATGGTAGTTCTGGGCTCTGCGAGCTGTATTTCAAATCTTTAAAAAGTTAATTTTAAAGGCCTTCTCTATCCAAATGTCAAAGAGTCAAAATTTAATTTGTTAGCAGATAACCAGAAACAGCTAAAATATTGAATCAGAGAAGTAATAATATTTCAGTTTACGGAATCAAGAGTGGTTCAAGTTACCTCCATGAATACAACTCAAAGGGCTACATTTACACGCCAACTGTAAGGAAGAATTACTGACAAGGCCATGGAAATCATAACATATCCTGAATTTGGAGACACTGAGGATACTAGTGAGAACTGAATACTAATACTGATCTAGAATAGCTGTATAATATTGTACAGTAAATTATAATAGAGTTAGGTAATAAATAAAATTCTAGAGTATTAATATTTACATATATGGATAGATAGAAGTTAATGGCTATGCAAAATGCTAATGACAGAGATAGATATTACAACAGATACAAACTTGAAGTAATATTGCCTACAATTAAAAATCAGCACAATTTTAAAACGTTTTTCATAAAGTAAAGATAATCTCTTTAGAGGAAGATATATTATCTTCTGTAATTTTCTATTATTCAGGTGGGTCACTCAATCATAGAACGAAATTAGATTGGGTAAGCAGGACCTGTGGTAAGCAGGATCTGTCTTTTATGAACCCATACTGGCTGGGCCTGATCTTTCTGGCTGCCCTGCACATGTTGTGTGATCTCCTTCAAGAGATCACACAATACCCTTTTCTTGCATGAAAGTCAGGTTGGCAAGCCTGTAGTTCTCCAGATCCTCCTTACAAATCTTCTCGAACGTAGGAGTCACATTGGCAAGCCTACAATCATAGAATTGTAGAATGGGCTGGGTTGAAAAGGACCACAATGATCATCTAGTTTCAACTCCCCTGCTATGTGCAGTGTCACCAACTAGACCAGGCTGCCCAGAGTCATATCCTCTGGGACCTCTCCACTTGATCAGGAATGTTGATAAATGATAGAAAGTGGCTTGACTATCATCTCTGCCAGCTGGAGGCGCTAGCCCCCTGGACTTGCAAGTGTTCAGGTGGTGTAACAGATCTCTAAATATTTCCATCTGAATTGAGGGGGTTTATTCTGCTCTCCATCTCAGACTTCCAGGACAGACTTCCAGGGGGTAGAGAGTACAATGAGGATAATTGATCTGACTTTTAAAGACAGGCTCTGACAACCTCAGCCTTTTCCTTAGCAGTCACATTTCCTGCTGTATGCGGTAAAAAATGAAGATTTTCTATGGTCCTCCTCTTACTGTTAATATATTTGTAAAAAGTTTTGTTGTTGTTGTTGTTGTTGTTGTCCCAAAAACAGTTTTTTTTTTTTTTTTTTTTTTCCCCAAAGGCCAAATTGAGTTCAAGCTGGACTTTTGCCTTTCTAATTTTCTCTCTGCACATCCTAACAACTTCTTTGTTTTCAAGGTCTGCTGATCACACAGCTTCTGTCAATTGCTCATAGAACACCTCATGTCTTTTCATTATGGTTAGCTGGAGACCTGAACAGCAGCCTTTTCGGGCAGGCGCTCCAAGTCACCTTATTCATTCTTTGGAGCTTATGTGAATTTACTCCATGAAATGTCATTTTCTTTCCCTGTCTTGTTACATAATAACTCTAAAAAGTCACTATATAAAATCTACTCTGATTACATCTCTTTGAAATCTGCTGGATTCTTGTTCAATGAATTAACACATTTGTTCAGATTATCATTCCTTTAAAATAGAAATCTTGAAGTATACCTAATCCATCAGCAATATATGAATCTCTAACAGTATACTGACAAATGTGTAGGCAGAGCAACTTACATCTTTTCCAACTTCATTCATTCACATTGCATACATGTCATAAAAACAATATGAATGTTAGCTGAGGAATAACAAAAACTTGTTGCAGATAAACCTCAATATTGATTATTTAGTTGGATTTCTGTATGATATTTCTGAAACAAATATTCCTTTTCCATCTTTGGTCTACTTATTTCAAAGCAGCCGTTTTCAGAAAGTAAAATAAAACAGAATTAGTCACGTTGTTTCAAGCTAACCTTGGAATGGCTTTTCTTTACCAGTTTCTCCCCCAGTGGAAGAAACATTTATCACAAAGTGTAAAACAACTCAAGACCAAACAGGCTCTATATGTCTCCAAAGTCACAGATAAATTCCACGCAGTTTTTAGAAATTAAGTGCTGTTCCTCCCAAACCTTTTGGGGACTTTTGTATGTTAGAATCACACAACTGTAGGAGTTGGGAGGGCTCTCCAGAGATTATCTAGTCCAACCACACTGCCAAAGCGGCTCCCTAAACCGTGTTGCACAGGCAGGTGTCCAGGCAGGTCTTGAATGTCTCCAGACAAGACTCCACAAACTCTCTGGGCAACCTGTTCCAGTGCTCTGTAACCCTTACTGAAGAAGTTCTTCTGCACATTTGTGCAAATCTTCCTATGCTTCAGTTTGTGGCCATTTCCCCTCACCCTATCACCACACCCAGCCTAGTCCCTTTGCCTTTTGCACCTTAGAAATTTATAGGCAGTGATCAGATTCCCTCTGAGTTTTCTTTTCTCAAGACTGAACTGACTGAAGTCGCTCAGCCTTTCTTCATGAGAGAAGTGCTCCAGGCCCTTTACCATCTTTGTGAACCTCCTCTGGACTCTTTCCAGGAAATCCCTGTCTTTTTTGTACTGCAAAGCCCAGAGCTGGACACAATATTCCAGGTGAGTCCTCACCAGGGAAGAGGAGGATCACCTTCCTTGACACTCTTTTTGATGCACACTGGGGCATCTATAAGTCCCTGAAACACTCTTTAAAATGTATTAAGTGCATTAAATGTATTGAAGCTGTCAAAGTTCTATGAATTCAATAATCAGGGGCATAAAAAGAACTTCAAAGATCACTTCTTTTCCAAAGCTGATGATAAACTGGTTATTTATTATTCCAGAATGATTTCTGAGGAAAAAGTGAGCAAAGCCTGATATACCTTTCACTGTAGATCCCGTTAGTAAAAGAATCCTCCCAACTTACCTTCCCATGACAGCAGTCTCCTGGTGGGAGCTGTCAGTTCCTGAGGCAATACTGTCAGCTGGCTGAGGAGTCATGTCTTGATAGAATTCAGAATAAAAGTAAAACAATAAAAAAACAAAAACAGCAACAAAAATAGCATAATTAGTTGAACTGTACCTTTAAAAATGCATCTACTTCTGTCTACATTGAAACCCCCCGTAGATTGCTAACCTTAAAAGAGAATCTGAAGTTGAAATCCATATTGAAGATAATACAGTTTCTCCAGAATTTCCTGGAAAACCAGCGCTTGATTTAATGTTTAAAAAATAAAGTTTGTTCCAGCTGTGTTCTTTGTGGTGTTTTTGTTTCTTTATTGTTGTTTTTTTCTTGTTTGTTTGTTTGCAGTCAATAGACACGAGAATAAAAACATGGCATAGCTAGTAAATATGTTATCTGTATGCATAAATGATTTTGTGAAATGATGTCACATACACATCTTAGCTCAGTTTTTTGGTTTTTTTTTTTGCTTTTCTTAGATTTATAAAGACCCTCTTACATATTCCTCACAGTATTCCCAATTGTTTCTTCTATGTCTGAGGCAACTTCCATGGTATCAGAGTTTTATTTGTACTATCCTCTGGAATAAAACCATGAAGTGAATACTAAGACATTACACCTGTATATTTGGAATTCTGTCCCAAGAAACAGACTCTTTTACCTGAACATTGACAAATAAACCAAATCATGTATGATGATAAGTTAAATGAAAACATTTAAAAGTCAGTAGTGGGTGCAAAACACATGCTCTGGGCATCTGCTGACTCCAGATTTCACTTAAGCATTAAGACACCTCTAGGTTTTAGAAGATCTACCTAGAATGGTACAACTTGTTAACAAGCCCAGATATGGAACACACCTCCATGCCTATAGCCTGACTGAATGTACTCTACAAGTTCTCTGGATAATACCTTAACAAATTAATTATTGAAGGAAAAGCATCTGCCATAGCCATAAAATTGCAATATAAATTACTTGAAATAGGAAAAGGGAAATATGGGAGACCACATGAAAAACAAAGTGACAGGCATGATTTTCAGTATCATAAGTTCTTCATGGCTTCCATGAATATATAGCAACTTTTTAAATTATTTTCAAATGCAGTAAATGTAAATACAATTGTGTGAAATCATATTTCTTGATATCCGAGTTTCATAATCCACATTTGTGTATATGCATCTGTTGTTCATTTATTTTTCTTTAATTACTGAAGGTAAAATATATTATTGTAAAACATATGGTATGTTAACTAAACGAATATAGTTTATGAAATTATTGCCTTTCCAGTTAATTTTTGCATTGAAGGTACCTGCTGGTAAAACCAGGTTCGCTAGTAAAGTTACCTAGTGAATATAATTTATTTGAATTTTTAAAGAAAAGAAAATCCTCATGACTAGCATTTTATTGCCAGTGTATTTAACTATTAATTTCGGTTTCATTAAATGACACAGAAGGATTTGTCTTTTTTGTTTGTTTGTTTGTTTGTTTTGGTTTTGTTTTTGTTTTGATTGGTTTTGCTTAAGAAAAAAAAAAAAAAAAAAAGAAAAAAATTCTGAATGTATTAAAGAAAAAAGACAAGTATTTAGAAAATCAGGAATATTCATTTTTGACAACTTTACTTTCTCTTGTCCAAATCAGTTTTTCTCACAATCCCATGCCTTCTTTTAGGGGATTGGAAGAAGCAGTGAAAAGTGAAAGGCATGAAAACAGGTTGAGTTAATGATTACTCAGGAATTGGAGATAAAATGGAGTGCTGAAAATGAAAGTGTTTTCACAATTCTGCTGAGTGCTTGCCATAAAAGATTCACTTGTTTAGTTATCATAGATAGAGTTGAAGATATTGTAGCTGAACTATTAATATTGTCCTTGACTGCCTTTTTTCTTTTTTTTTTTTCCTCTTTCCCTTGAATCAATGTGGAAAGATAATCACTGAATCTAATGTTTCAAAAAAAAGGAATGCTAAGTTTACATCCTGGATACAAATCAGTACATTCCTCTGTATTTCCCCACCCCCCACATACATTTATTTTTTCTTATTTTGTCTTAAAATGCTTCATCCAGGACCATATTTTCAATACTCTACTGTTAAAAAAGTTACTATGTGTTGTATTAGCTTCCTCATTTGAATTTGTAAATACAAGTTCAGTTTCTTAAAAATTTAGCTTTTACTTTAATATGCTTCAGAATAAAATTAAAAAATGATAATTATCTATCTTTTGGAGTCTCTATATTTTAAAAATGATATATATATGTCTGTCTTTGTAAAACATCACACTGGTGTCTGAAAAAGTAGCACTGACCTCTTGAAACTCAGTACTCATCTGAGACTGCAGGTCAGTGAACTCACTGTGTCCCAATAATATTTACACAGTTACAGATATTTTAAATAGTGACACTTTTACATCAATCACATTTTAATGGTCAAACACTAGTCATGCACCTTGATAACAAAGGGAGAAAAAGTCTGTTTTAAATTACTAGCCATGTCATGTTGAAAAATCTCCCCCAGCATCTTCCGGATGTGCAGACGAGGGGATTTTTTTAAGAGATGTGTTGAACTAAGCCTGGTTAAGCAAGATAAAAGTACAGATTTCTTGAACAGGATGAACACAATTTATGCTATCAGTTTCCCCCTATATACTCAACAGTTCCACTGACATAAAAAGGATGTTAAATTAAAGCAATGTTACAGCAGCAGGAAAGGATTCCAGCAGAGATAGCACTAAAGTTAACTTTTTTCTTATAACAAAAGCATTGCTTAAGAAGCTGAAGTGCTAGAGGAGGAGATTTTCATTTCCATCACTTAAGCAATACATCTGACACGCAGAAAATCCCATTTTACTTCTGCTACAACCAGTGACTTTGTACTGCCTGTAGTGGAATGCACATAATAGTATGGCATACTGCCTTTTTTAAAATGTTCAAAAGAAGCCAAGCCTCTCCTCTGTCTCTACCGGAAAACGACTGACTTTGAAATACTTGCAGAATCAAGTTCTAAGAGCCAAAGTGATTCCAGGTCTGTTGCTTTGTGATCAGATTTTGTCAATTCAAGATAGCTTATTAAAATTCAAAATGATTAAATAAATGAAAAAAAAGGGATGTTGGCTATGAACTCGATAGCGCCTGGCAGCTCTTTTTGCATTATGAAAGGCAGTTCCATCTAACTCAACTAACTTTTCCTTAAGAAAATGAGGTATGTTTTATCCACAGACATGCCTTCAGGGAAGGTTATCCAGTCAGCATGGCACCTAAGCAGTCTTCTAGAACATATAGAGATCCTCTCCTTGTTCATGTATGAATGTTTTCCTCAGATGCAAAGATTTATCTGTTTGGGCATGGTCTGTGCCCATGGTCTCTTATCTTGTTTCAGGATGAAATCATCATATAGCTCCATCTGTTCAGTCAGTTCCACAAACTGATCAAGAGACACGTATTTACTGCTTAGTTTAGACATACATGCTGAGTTTCAAGCTCAGTGATTTCCTAACTCCTAATAGAAAAATATAACTTTATTTTGTAAAATTACAGAATCAGAATGTGTCACAGTATCACAGAATGTCACGGTTTGGAAGAGACCTCAAAAGATCATCTAGTCCAATCCCCTAGCCGGAGCAGGAACATCTAGATCACCTCATACAGGAATGCATCCAGTTGGGTTTTGAATGTCTCCAGAGGAGACCATACCATTTCTCTGGGCATCCTGTTCCAATGCTCTATTACCCTTACTGTGAAGCAGTTCTTTTTTTCTCGTATATATCTGGAAACTTCTATGCTCCAGCTTGCACCCATTACCCCTTGTCCTATCATTGGATGTCACTGAGAAGAGCCTGGCTCCATCCTCCTGATACACACACACTTTACATATTTATAAACATTAATGAGGTCACCCCTCAGACTCCTCCAAGCTAAAGAGACTCAGCTTCCTCAGCCTTTCCTCATAAGGGAGATGCTCCACTCCCTTAATCAACTCTATGGCTCTGTGCTGGACACTCATTAAATTTCCTGTCCTTGAACTGAGGTGCCCAGAAGTAGACAGAGTATTCCAGATGCGGACTCAAAAGGGCAGAGTAGAGGGGGAACAGAATTGTTAAGGTTGGAAGAGAACTCTGGAGATCATCTGGTCCAACCACACCTTCTCGAGCACGGACATCCAGCACTGTTTAACCAGGACCATATCCATACAACTTGTAAGTACTTCCAAACAAGACTCAAATTTAGTAGAATTATCTTATTTTAAAATAGTTTAAACAAACTGAGCTGCGAGTCTCTGGCTTGCTAATAAAATCTGTTTAAAATGCTGCTACCATAGTTGTTTGTTAGCAAAAATCTCTTTTCTAGAAACTTAGTCTTGTCAACTGACCAAGATTTTTCATTCCTTTATTTCCTTAGTAATGTGTATTATCTAATCAACTATCTTTACTGTTTTTAATTATGTTTTAATTAAATATTTAAAGTGAGCTTTATTATCCAAACAACAGATTATGAATCTGTTCCTATGAATTATTATGAATTGAGAATAGCAGAAAAACAGCTAAGGTGTTATTCTGAGTCTCATAGGAATTTCAGCAAATTCAATTCAGGAGTAAGCTCCTTTTTAGGAAAATCTCTGAAAGTAAATATCAGTCTTCTAGGGTGAGATCCATTTCATCTAATTTAGAATAGATAGATTTTTATGTCATTTACAGTTATCTTAAATTCTATTTATATTGACTGAAGTGAATTTTTCATCATTCAGTGTGCCTGTTTATATCCAATGATTATACACAAAAAGCCATCAAACATAGGTTTAACTAGGTGTAAAATTAGGTGTAAAATTAGGTGAGATGAGACCATCATTTCTTAGTCATTTTTTTCTTTAGGAAAAAATATACGCTAGTAAAACAAAAAAACAATGATTATCTGTTTCTGCTGAGAAAGATAAAACTTTTGTGGAACTGAGATACATGTTAATACTTGGGAAATTTGTGAACCTCTAAATGAATAAGAACACAGTCTGACAACTAATTATTTTTTACAGTTTCCAATCCCGCTTTACTTGTTTTTAGTTTGTTTTCCCCTCTTATTTATTTTTATACTTAATTGGTTTTGAGATTTTCTGTGGTTTTTTTGTTGTTGTTGTTGTTTGTTTTTTTCTAGAAGAATCTTACAAAATTTGAAGAATGACACATAAGTTATTACTGCTGAACTTGTCTGAAATGAGAAGAAGGAACTAAAATGGAGATGTGTTAAATGATCACTGTACTGGATATGCATATTTTGCCAAATACGTATATATTAAATAAACAAGTAAATATAAGTTAATCAATACATCCTAAATAATTGCTGAATGGAGAATTCTTTTCACTTTTGCTACCTTGAATTTCCTACTACATGAATTTTCGAGTTGCAGCAGCTTTGTAAAAGGCAAGCTCAAGGAGGCATTAATTAGCAATGTTACGCCTATTAGATACTTCTAGGACAGAAGTTTGCAAACTGTTTTATTTATGTATTTTTAAAAATAAATATTACTTAATTCTTTTTAGAATAATGAGAGCTTCCTTGGGTGTCAATGTATGGTGAAATCTCTTCTCTTTTCTGTCTGATCATCACAGAACATACGTCTTCAAATACTTTGTCTCTGAACAGTCTGATTTCTTTGACTGCAGTTGTGGTTTAGTCCAGCAGGCAGATAAGCACCATACGGCTGTATGCTTACTCCTTGCTTAAAGGTGAGGGAGAAAACTAGAAAAAATATAAAACTTGTGAGATGAGATTTAGTGAGCTTAATAACACATACACACACACACAAAATAAAAAGAAAAAAAGAAAAAAAGGAAAAAAAAGAAAAATAATGATAAATACTAAATATACAGTGATGCTGCAATGCACCTTCATAAGTCCTGCCAGTCCCTGAGCAGCAGCAGCCCCTCTGGACAACTCCCCTCATTTTATCGTTAAACATAACAGCAAATTTTATGGAATAGCCTTTTTGGCCAGTTTGGATCAGCTGTCCTCGTTCTGTCCCCTCACAGCTCCTTTTACAACAACAGCCTCCTCAATGCTAAGGTACTCTAAGAAGCTTGACTTTGTAAGAACTGCTCAGCAACAACCAAGAATCTGTCATATTATCAACATTCTTCTCATCCTAAATCCAAAATATGACACGATATCATATTTAGGAAGAATATTAACCTTATTTTAGTTGAAATTGGGTCAACTATAATGGGTGAAAGGAACTGACAAAATTCCACTTCACCTGTCAATCTTTGAAATCTCATTAAACCTAAAAGCATTAATAATAATTATTATTTTTTAAATTATTTTTTATTTTTTTGTAGAGAGAGATTGAGAGAGAGAGAAAAAGAGAGAGGGGAAGAAAATTTCCCATCATGGGTAAAAAAAAAAAAATCACATTACAAGGAAGTACTTCTTTGGAATTCACAATATGAAATTGATTAATAAAGAGTTTTTAATCTTTACAAATGCAATTTATAAGCAGAATGAATCTATCAGATGTTGGAAAAATATTTTTTATACTCTGTATCTAATATTTTCATTAAGTTATGCACATTAAAGTTGCAAAGCTATTGAAGCTATAAATCTCGTACATAATCAAGACAATTTTAATATATTACAGGAACACTAGCATCTCATATTATATAAGTAAAAGGAAAAATAAATCACTTTCAGCTAATTCTATTGTGCAGTGATTAAAATGTGAAATACATGTTAGCAAATTGGAATAGAAAATGCTATTTTAAAGAGTCTATTTTTTCCACTCTCACATGAACCACAATAATAATAAACAAAAATAAATTTATGAATGAAAATATTCTTTGCCCACTCAGAATGCAAATTTTTCATATTGATTAATTGCCACACTAGAGTTTCTAAAACAAGTTTAGATACCTAATGGGGAATTTTGGATTCTTATATGTCAATTCAAATTTATATTTTTAATGTCTTTATTCATTTTTTACTTTATTCTAGGAGCAGATAAATTATTTAATTGTCAGTAATCTTTACTATGTTTTATTTGCAAATACAGGTGAATTCATAAGAGAAAGATGTATTAAAGACTAACCAATTGCTTAAATATTTTATTATATTACATCATATATAAATAGACATTTAAATATATATTCTCACAACAAAATATTTAGAAGAATAAGAAGAAAAAAAAGAATTTTTTTGTTGTTTGGTTGGATGTTTTTTGTTTGTTTGTTTGTTTTTGGAAGAAAGTAGTAAGAAATTCTGATAAAATTAATAGGAATTATCAATATAATCTATGTACAGCTTCTGGCATCACCAGAAATCTTCAATATTTCACTGAAGATATATTTTTTTTCCCCTAGGGGGAACACTTTAATATGAAAAAACCTCACGTATATGCCTCACAGTGATCTAGGCTTCTACTGCTGTATTCACAGAGAACTGGCACAGTGTGTAGAAGACAACAGCTGCTGCTGTACTGATCATGGATGAGAAGTAAATCATAAAAATATGAAATCTTTTCTCTAAGCTCAAATTTGTAATTAATTTATGTATGAAGTGAGTAAAGATGAAGGTCTCCTCTTTTAACTTAGAAGAATAAACTCTCACTCAGAAAGACCATTCCACAAGGTAGCTGACAATTTACGAACTTTCCAGATCATCTGCTTGTACAACACTTGAATAATTAATCTATATATAAAGTTAGTAGTTCAAAGGTTTGTTCTACATGACTATAATCACTACAGTTTTCATGCCAACAAATGAAACTTAAAAGACTTAGTAAAGAAGCTTTATTCTCACCTGTAGGAAAATTTTAAAAAGAAGACACCCACCTCAAGGTAACATAAATAATAAAACAAGTTAATTGGACAGACAGTGTATGATTAACATCTCAGACTCAACAAAAAATTCTTCAGAAGTAGTATGTGTGTGAATTATGCTCATTAGAAGAAAAAATTCAAAAATTATTTCTATTGAGATAAGTTGATAACAGCTAGTAAACTCAATGATATTAGATTTTCTTTTTTTTCTTCCTTTTTTTTTTTTTTTTTTTTTTTTTTTTTTTTCATATTGTATTTATATTTAGATCATTAGGCTCAGGGGAGACGTTATCACACTACCTGAAAGAAGGTTGTAGTGAGGTGATGATTAGCTTTTTCTCCCAGGTAACTAGTGAAAAGACAAGAGATAATATCCTCCATCAACAGAGGGTCAAATTGGATATTAGGAAAAAAATATTCTCAGAATGAATAGTGATGTAATGGAGCAATGGAGCACAGTCACAGCAGCTGTGACACAGTGTACTACCTCTGCTGAATTTTAGGAGTGCAGCGTGCAGGCACTTGTTCATAATCAGCAAAAATGCATAGCTAGTGCCAGGGACTGGTAAGCTGGACATGAGCCAACAACATTCCCTCCTAGTGCAGACAGTTAACTGTATCATGGGTTGCAACAAAGGAAGCATGACCAGCAGGTTAAGGGAAGTGACTCTGCACTGGTGAGGCCTCACCTGGAGTACTGCATCCAGATTTGGAGTTCTCAGTACAGGAGAGACATAGACCTGTTGGAGTGCATCTAGAGAAGGGCCAAAAAAATGATCCAAGGGATGGAACATCTCTCCTCTGAGGACAGGCTGAGAGAGCTGGATCTGTCCAGTATGGAGATAAGAGAGCTCTGGGGAGGCTGATAGCAGCCTAACAGTATCTAAAGGGGAACTATAAAAGGGTAGAGGACAGACTCCTCAGTAGGATCTGTTGTGATAAGAAAACGCAAAATGATTTCAAAATAAAAGAGAGGAGATTTAGATTGGATATGGGGGAAAAATAAAATATGAATGGTGAGGCACTGGAACAGGTTGCCCAGAGATGTAGTAGAAGGTCAGGCTGGACCAGGCTCTGAGCAACCTTATCTAGCTGTAAATGTCCGAGGTTACTTCCGGGAAGCTGGACTAGATGACCTTAAAAAGTCCTTTCCAACTCAAAAGATTCTGATTCTGTGATTCCATGATTCTTTGAAAAGTTGTGAAATTTTGCAGGATTTTGTTGTCCATTTAAATATTTTAAATATATATATATTAAAAAAAAAAAAAAAAGAATCTAACAGAATTAGATGTCTATATCACTTTTATCTGTTATAAGAGCTGAAAATCGTCTTGAACAATGTGCTTGATTCATTTGCATACAAAGCACATGCACACACAAAAAAAATATACTTAGTTTACTAAATAACCTAAGAAAGTCAAATCAAGTTAGAAACTGAGAGTGTGAGATAATTATATATCAGATTGACACTTAATACTGAGTTTCAGTTCAAACTAGTAATTGTATTCACACAGCCTTTGCCCTTTTCATTCCTGGACTGTTAAAACAGATATATTACAGGTAAAAATACTCTGTCAATAGAAAATACAGTCTGAAGAAGAACTGTCTTTGTGGTATATATGATACATACAAGAAATATATTTCAGTAAAGTGAAATGACTTTTTTAGTGAGCTAAGAATCTCTCCCTAATCTCAGTGCAAATGTTTTTTAACCTGATTTCTTACTCTTGTGACTTCTGGAATAAAAAATCTTTTACCTATATCTGTTATTAGAATTTACTACAATAATATAAGAAAGCAATGCCTGTTTTTCAGTATTTTCTCTGTATTCTATTTTTAGCTTCCTACTCTACTTAAGGAAATATCGACTCCATATGGACAAAAGGACCATAATTTCTTTTATGCAAAAATACGCATTTGGTGAATGTATAGAGAGTAATTTCCTATGAATTTATCCTATATAATAGAAAAAATATTTTCTGACAGAGTGCAACTTAATTCATTTAAGCCACTATCATTTATTAAACTGTTTGTAATTAGAATAATCAGCTGACTGAATGCAATTAAAGTAAATCTAATCAGCTTGAAAAAGGACTAAACATACAACTTAGGAGCAGCAGAAGTAATTGTCTTTGGCAGTCACTGTTTTATATTTATGCTCACATTGATATCAGAAGGGTAATCCCAGTAGCTGGCAAAGAAAATCCTGAAGTAGCAAAGTTGATTAAATGGGAACATTTGTAGGAGTAAGAATAGAAGCATCACTGGCTGTAACTCAAGAGCAAGCTTACACGGAAAGGCAGAGTATAAATGCTCAGCACTGACTGTCAATTTACAATTGGAGTCTACACTCTTTAGTCTCTATCACTGTCAAATTCAATTTCTATTTAAAAGAAAACAGTTCATTAATCTAGAGAGTTTAATTTGCAGCCATAAAAACAGGTTTTGCTTTTAATAGAATCGTAGAGTCGCAGAATGGACTGGGTTGAAAAGGACCACAATAATAATCGAGTTTCAACCCCCCCCTAGTTGCCAACCAGGGTTGCCAAGAAGGGTTGCAGAGTTGCCAACCACCAGACCAGTCTGCCCAGAGCCACATCCAACCTGGCCTTCAATGCCTCCAGCCATGGGGCATCCACAACCTCCTTGGGCAACCTGTGTCACCACCCTCTGCGTGAAAAACTTCCTCCTAATAGCTAACCTAAACATCCCCTGTCTCAATTTAAAATCATTCCCCCTTGTCCTAACACTATCCACCCTCATAAACAGCCATTCCCCTTCCTGTTTATATGCTCCCTTCAAGTACTGGAAGGCCACAATGAGGTCTCCCTGGAGCCTTCTCTTCTCCAAGCTAAACAAGCCCACTTCCCTCAACCTTTCTTCAAAAGAGTGGTGCTCCAGCCCTCTGATCATCTTAGTGGTCCTCTTCTGGATCTGCTGCAAGAGCTCCATGTCCTTCCTGTACGGGGGCCCCAGGCCTGGATGCAGTACTCCAGATGGGGCCTCAAAAGAGCTGAGTAGAGGGGAACAATCACCTCCTTCTCCCTGCTGGCCACCCCTTTTTTAATGCAGCCCAGAACACAGTTGGCCTTCCGGACTGCAAGCACTGCAAGCACACACTGCTGGCTCATGTCTAGCTTCTCAGTCACCAGGACCCCGAAATCCTTCTCCACAGGACTGCTCATAAGGAGTTAAGCTCAGGAGTATTCACATGAGAAATCAAAACTTACTGTTTTAGGACAGAGAATGAACTGAGCTTTAAATGTTTTCAGAATTAAGATCAAAAGCCTAATGGATTTGAGGTTTTTTTGTATATAGATACGTGACTGCTGCTAAAAATAACAAGTTAATGTTATATTATTCTTGTATTTATTGCTTTCAAATATTACAACTATGTGCAAGTGCTTCTCCAAAAGTAACTCCTTCTATTTCATTACACCAATCCATGACATCCGAGGCAGATGTTGGTGGTATGACAGTAGAGACTGAACTTTCTATCCAATTCTCCAGGACATTTTGTTGCTGTCTGACAGATGGTAGCAGAGAGGCAGTCTCACACAATGGCAGCATCTGGTATGGAAGTGCTATGAAGCAAGAATGCGTAACTGAATTCCTACATATTGACAAAAATGGCACCCACTGACATCCATTTGGATGAGTGAACTGGGTCTGTTCAGCCTTGACAAAAGAAGACTGAGAGGGGACCTGATCCAGGTCTATAAATATCTAAGGTGTGGGGGGCAGAATGGCGAGGCCGGACTCTTTTCAGTAGTGAGTGGAGACAGGACAAGGGGAAACGGCTGGAAACTGCAGCATAGGAAGTTCTGCACAAATGTGTGCAAGAACTTCTTTACAGTGAGGTGACGGAGCACTGGAACAGGCTGCCCAGGGAGGTGGTGGAGTCTCCTTCTCTGGAGATGTTCAAGACCTGCCTGGATGCCAACCTGTGCGACCTGGTGTAGGGAACCTGCTTTGGCAGGGGGGTTGGACTCGATGATCTCTGGAGGTCCCTTCCAACCCCTACAATTCTGTGATTCTGTGATTCTGTGATTTATGATTTCTGAACATGAATGGGGATCAAGCGGTAGATGTGAGCACAGTGAAATTTTGGGTGTTGTGTTCCGACAGGAGTGATAGTGACATGAAAGACAAGCCATGTCCTGGAAGACAAGTGCTACATGCAGGCTCCTGTTCACTGCTAACTGATAGTGATGACTAGATTGAAAAATAGTGTAATCTAATTGAGAATTTGCTCTTTCAAATCGTGCTACTGTACTCTTTGTATCTGTTGTAGTTTCCATGGAAATATATAGGAGATATTACTTTTGGAGCATCTCAGGTATTATCATGAACAAGAGATGGTCTGTTTTGTGACCTCTGTTTGAAGGTGAATCATAATTTTCAGAGAGCAGTTGTCAGCCTCCATACAGGACTCAATTTCTCTGAGCAGAAAGCCTCTTGCAAGAAGTGAAGAACTCTTATTTAACTAGATGTCCACTCAGCATAGCTGTAGAAATGACTGTTTGGACAAATGCTCAGTAACCATAGGAATATCCATTATGCATAGACAGATCAGAAGTATTGATCATACTCTAGATATCCATAATACGTATGACGTGTTTACTGTATGCCATAATTTATTCATATTAATTTGCCTTCTGTGTTGCACATGTACAGCTACTCTGTGTGCCCAAACTGAATTGGGCTCAGCGAATATGTCAATTTTAGCAAGTAATGCAGATATATAGGATTGGGCTTGCACAGTGAAACAGATGGTACTGAGGATGCAATGTCCCCCCAATTAAGCATTTCAAAAAAACTTTAAATTGAACTGAATGCCCAGTTCAATTAGGTTGTTCAGGAATGAGGCAGCTACCTAGAATATATCTTCTTCGTAGATTTCATCCAAAGACAGTGCTTAGAACAACATGGGAATCTGCTCCAAAAGTCACATTAATTAAATTGAAATGATTATGTAGATGCACCTATTTCTCTTTGACTGAAAAAGTCTTTAAGAACACAATAAATATAGCCTGAAGGAGGAAAAAAAAATGTATAATTGCTTTGTTGTTTTCTTCTTATCCTGCTATTATCAGGTAAATCATTCATTAGCAATAAACATAGATGAAATGTGGATGAACTCTGCAATAGAGATAGGCATTGGAGCCAAGTTTCTATAGTACCATCTTCTAAGGGTAAGGAAATTGTACATGAAAGTATCTCTACAGCTTCACAAATCAGATCAAGTATCAGCTGCAACTGAAATTATTTGAAATGGCACATTTCACATCTAAATAGTAAGGATAAACAGTACATTCCAAAACCAGCATTTTTTGTAAGTAAAAATTATAATAATTTTATAATCTATTATAATCTAATTATAATACAAACTAAAACTTTCTTTTAGTACAATCAGAAATTTGACAATAAAGAAAAATGTGCTTTAGAAGTACAAAATGAAAAAACA